ACGTTAAACCCCTTTTCATTTCATTTCATTTCATTTCCTGACGTGACGTATCTGGTTCACATGTACTTCCAGAATACAGAACAAATCCATGACCTTCTTGTGTGCACGGTGAGATTAAATGAGGAGGAAGGATTTTATTTTCATAGATTTACTATTTTTTTTCATTTTTGTTTGTGATAAGAGCTATTTTCAGATGCGTGTGAACCATCTGTTTTGGCTTTGGAAAAGGCGGTTATTTCTACCAAGTTTAGAACACGAGAAGCACACACTAGTGATTGATTCTAAAACTGTCACAGGACTAAAAGTACAGCTGTGTGTCGATTTCAAGTTAAAGTTCCTGTTGACTGACTTGTGGGAAGCCTGTTGAAACAGACCAATTGAATACCGTCACGAAATGTTCCCAATCTCTGTGATTTAAAGGTTTTTAAGCTGTGACTTTATCTAAGCGTCCTATTGTTTATCATTGGAACACATATTAAGACTAAACTACAATCTTTGATCGTTACATCTATGTTCATTATTTAGCTTTCTAAAGATTGTACAGAGTCAATACTAGCTAAATCAAAAATACATCCCCACAGGACAATATATTATTCTGCATAGGATTGCGGACAAGGTGAAGCTGTTGTAACCACAATGTTTTCAGACACTGAATTAGAAGTGGTATCATATCTTCTAGAATAAGTAAAATTACCAGCATCGTGCACAACTCCCGTCATATAATTAACCTTTCCCCGACGTCAATCTATAGTGAACCTATTTTATCCGACAATCTAAAGATATAAAATTTATATCATATGAAGTTGGTGTTTTCTAATCAAAATAATATCACGTTTCTTTAGTTGAAACATTCCGTCAGATGAATATGAAAAGAAATGAAATGGGGCTTAACGGCCTACTGTTCTGCTCCGACTGGACTAATAAAGACGGACATACGCTACACAGTGTGCTATGAAGGGAATTTTGATGGACAGCGGTGCTACGGCTTACTCTTATAACGAATTCAAACTATCAGGTCGTCTTTTACATGTACGTCAATGTGTACACGGGACCACGGTTTTTCGTCTAATCGTCTAATCCAAACGACTAGACAGCTGTCCGTGTCACAACACCCGTCCTGCACCACTGGCAAGGGGAAACCACGCCGGAAAATTCCGAGGAACACTGAGAATGAACCCAAAACCTCCACGTTAATGAGCTAGCGTCTTACTCACTGAGTCAGCCCGACTCCCAGAGATGAATATGCCTGTAAATAAAACTGTAGTTATCAATGAACTTAGAAATATTTTCACAAACCTGGTGGCACTTTGGTTGTCGGTTAAAGATGCCGAGTCAAGTCGTTGTCAAGAGGGTGTTGTAATCTTGCTGTGCGGATGGACAAATTAGATTTATATCTTCATTCTCAATTCCACTCCGTAGGGAGGAGGATACCTGCTAGACGTTTGTTGTCAGATAAATATCGACAGTCACGGTGTTGTCAAGGCGGCGTGGTAATCTTTGCTCTGGGGATAGCTACAATTTATTCATATCCCCAGTCGGGGATAAGGGTGGGGTCGCCTGCCCATCCACGCGGGTTTCTCTAGGGCCCTAGTTCCCCGCAAAACTTCCAAAGTTGTTCTTCTGGCTTAACCAATATCTCTCCTCTACTGCTAAATTTTAAATTACATGTACGATAAAAGAAATTGATGTGATTTGCTCAAGAATTTCGCAACAAGACTTCGATATTGGCTGTATAAAACTAATATAAAAAAATCCCCTCGGGTTTGTTCTCGAAGAAAACAAACCTGTTAAACACTTGACTCCCATTCATGATCAGAATTTTTGTTTTATCGACCTTTCAGTAAAATACAAAAATATTTCTTTGTACGAATTCGGTGAGGTATTTTCTAAACAAAGTAGACTTATTTGTTATTTGTCCTTCCTTTATTTCTGTAAAATTCTTGAGAGAAAAAAAAGAGACTTTCCTAACTTTATGTTGAAGTTGATGTCAGGTTTGGATTTTATGGCGTTTCGTTGAGTGGTAATTTTTGTTAACGTGGTATTGAAGACTACATGGATATCCTTATCCACCCTTGAATTAAAAATAAAATATGCAATTCTTTTACATCACATTGTTGCACCTGTTAGAAATCGCCCTGAATGAAACTAGAATAAAGCTTAAAACAACAGATTCGTTTTAAAAAAATTTAATCTGAGAGGCTTTACGTAAATTGTGTTTTACAGGACTAATCCTGAGATTTGGCACGATTTGTTCCTTGATGTATTATATAACAACTATCTAACTGTTCTCCTTTAGTTCTTGTTAAATCGTTCTGATATTTCTAATAGCGTTATATTACAAAATGTCATATTATTTTTAAGATATTATAACACCTTATTGTTGAAGAAATACTGATTTTGTAATTCCAATAAAATGCAAAATTTAAATTCATATTTTTTTTATACTATTTAGCTGAACGGTTGTGGAATCATTGGTCAAATGTGCACCTTCCACACTTTTTGTCTGACAAAGATCTGTAAGTGGTTTTGTCTGACAAAGATCAGTAGGTGGTTTTTGTCTGACAATGATCTGTAGGTGGTTATATCTGACAATGATCTGAAGATGGTTTTGTCTTTTGGGAGTTTTGTCCAACCATAATCTGTAGGAAGATTCTCTGATCATAATCGTTAGGTATTTTTGTCTCATCATGATTTTCAGGTATTTATTTTGTCCGGTTAACATCAGATTATATGAAAGCTAGTTAATATAAATGTTTATATTTGTAAATAATTTGCATTATTTGATCAACTGTAAGGTTAAAATCGTCAAATTCTTTTGCATATAGTATCTTGATCAAACTTGATGTAAATTGTATCATCATTGTTAAACAGAGATCGTAGTTGAACTGTACTAAAAAATATAGATCAAACAGTACATGAACACGGAGTGGTTATGGTAAATATTTAATATTCACCTTCCAGTATTTACATACATGTATATAGATCAATGTCTAAATAAACCAGTAATTATATATATCATGTCTTAATTGATCAGGAAAACTTAAGCAAGATCTCGAATTCGATGTCGTTATTAATAGGTTTTTAAATCTACAATAATTATGAAAATATTTGCGTATTTCGAAATATATCACGAGTTGAAAACTTTTTACAATATTTGACATCCTCTTTCTCGGCCAAGGAGATGGAAAGTGTCCATGAAGATCGTGTATGCCCGTTAAAGCCCTCTAATCCATTTGCCGATACACAATATTGTAGACATATATATACATAATACATGTCTGGTTGTCGGGGAAAGCGATTAATATAACATAATATTAAAACCGATATATACACGGCAATGCAGTATACAAAGTTTACCAATTTTCGAAACATCGGATATCACTTTCTAGTGTGATATTTGTATCATGCGGCTCATGCTGTGGACAAATTTTGTGGTGAAATAAATTCTTTTTGGGAAGACATTTATTAGAGGGGTACTAAAATATTATAAACTCCATTTGAACTGTTATAAATATAAAACGATTCGAATATAATTCGACCATCTATTCGACCCACGCAACTTATTATCTGAATATACTATTTCTACCTACTCTAATAATAACCCCACAATAAATTAAATAACTGATTAAATATAGATCGTTGACCACGGTTTCTGTCCTTACTGTTCAGTGTCACACGATTCGCTTACGTTGCATGGCAACATTATCGCTTACTCGTTTTCATTTAGAGCAACGATGACTCTGAGGTCCCAGGTTCGATCCCGGTGTTGGCTGAGATAGTTTTTCTGGATTTTCCAGCTCGATTCCCCTTGCCAGTGGTGCAGAGCAGAGGGTCGGTCAAGGAATAGCACCCCGTGACAGCTTGAATTCAAATAAAAGTAGATCGTAGCACCGGTGTCAAGGCAAAATTTCCACCAGAGCATACTGCATCATGCATGCCCGTCTTCATCAAATAGGTTGGTGCCGATAAACCCCTTTCATTCCATTTTATTTCTTTTACATGATAGTTCGCCACGTGACTTTGTGCTTTATTCCAGGAGCTGTCTTCCACCCAGTAGTTTCGGTTTCTAGTACCTAGGTGTAAACCATTGCCCTAGCTATAAAAAAGTATGGGTGTCATGCACAAGCCATTGTATACTCATCCTTTCTGAAATGCCCGATAACACTTCTCAAAGCTTTTCGTTGTTCTTTTTAACCATTTCGCTTGTGATATTCAAGAATGAATGAAATGAAATTGGATAGTAATGTGTTCGTCTATTCTTCGTCGAATTCCACCTGTCAAGCGGGTTATTTACGTGCACTCAAAATGGTAAACATTATTAATGCATTGTATAGCTAATCATTCACCAAATAATTTACTTGTCAGCACCGCAGGCGCTACCAATGAGAACCGGGCTTAAAAACTCTCGAGGTTCTTCTCGACCCACCACGGGATTCAAACCCTTCCATTCTTGACGAAAGACCGTGCCCATGTCGTTTGTCTACCGCGGCAACACAGATCAGATTGAACATTTTTATCTTGAAAAATTCCGAGGGGATTCGAACCTGGACCATTTTAGTCGAAACTCTACGTCCCTTACCGTTCGACTACACCAGGACACTCCACATTTCCCATCCTGGAACATAACAGCTGAAAACGGTCCTCGCACTTGACCAATGATTAGACTGAATATTGTTATTAAATTAAAGAGAACCTTAATTAATTAAGGATTATAAAAGTTTAATGATAATTAAGTTAGGTTCCCTTTAATGTAATTAGAAGGGTATCTCTGGTTGGTCAGCATTAACCAATTATTGTTGTGTACATGTATATATTATCTTGTTATATTTTCATATTTTATAATTGCTTGACAATGACTAGAGAAGCTTATTCGAACAGTCGATCAGTAATAAGAAGTAATTGTATTCCACAGAACTGTGACCTGTATATTCCAGTTCAATTACTAAATCCCATTGAAACAATGAATATTGTTAATTATTAATTAAGATAAAATCACCTACCATTCACAAGGGATGTAAATAAAATGTATCCAATAATTGTCACGTTGTCTTTTTTTCCACTGTACAATAATTAACTCATTAATTTAGTTTATTCCATAGTTCCTTCTCCTTAATGTCTCCTCTTCATCATTTACAGTCTTGACAATGATAACATCGATACGAGAATCTCCGTGGTTAGATCACGTGATTTGAATTAAAGCCAGGTGCCAAATAAGGGCATTGTATGATGTCAATATTGACTGGTGAGTTTGAACCAGCTACCTGTCGTTAACACGTTTGTTAAATCTATACAAGGTATTTCAACTAAAACACCTCTATTCTCACGTACAGTCAAGTTACGTGTGTTAAGGCAAACTTGTTACACTTTAATCTCAGGTGATAAACGCTGTAAAGCTAAAGTTAACTCTGCGACGATTCCACTAAATCTTACAAGGTTTCGTGAAAGTTAGGATTTGATCAGAACAGGGTTACGTGTGGTAATTGTCTGTGATAAAACCTTTAAAAACAACATTCAATTGAAAATTATCAACCTTGTAGATCTTCCTGGCCTCATATCATGATCCTGGAATGTTAGTTACTTTGCAAACTCCCAGTCACAAATTCCAACACTAATTTTTGACATCGACAGATTTTATACCTGACCTGGTATATCAAGAAGTCGACAGAGAGAACTGTAAGGTATGGGTAGAAGATGTGACCGTTTTATATTTACAATATTTGATGATTATTGTCAGAGTTGTGCCCCTTGTGACTAGGTTGGACACAAGTTTTACGCGGAATCTGATGAAACGTGCAGGGATGTTATGTTACACAATTAAGATATACTGTATTTTTAATATTTACGTTTGTCGGAGATATTTACAGCGTTATTGCCCGTATAGGGTAACAGACTGTAGACAAATAGTAGCTTTTTTAACCTTATTTAGTTGAATTTGCTGGAATGCTAGAGCAAGTTTGTTTTGTTTGAGACATACACTGGGTGGGATGATTTACATCACAAGAATGGTAAGAATTGATTTGAAACACCAAATTGTGAGCGCCGCATTGTCTCGGCTGAGGGTCAATTGAATTTTAGCTACATGAATTTATCCCAAATAGAGGTGGTGCCCTAGTGGTGTTCAGGAAAAAGTGCGCAGTTTTTGTTTAATCTAAAATAGGACAACTTAGACTTGGAGCGATAGTTTGGACGTGGATTTTAAAAATCGAAACTAACGGAAAGCTCGCTGGATTAAGGCAGGACACTATGTAAGAATTTTACATTGATAACAGAAATTTGCCATTTAGTATAATATTAGTATATGATGTCCCAAATCAGATTTGATAATGTTGATTGGTTGCCATGGAAATGGTGGCCATATTGGAGAAATCAAAATCTTCACCAAATTTATTGAAACAAACCATTTGTGATTTGGAATAACATATATAGACATTAAAACGTGCAATAAGATATAAATTTTACTATTTGACTGTTAATAAAACAAGCGGTTGCCATGCAAGATACGCCCACATTTTGCAAGAGATGGACAGAGAACAAGCTCAAAAAAAGAAGTGATTTTTTCGTACAATCAAGGGCCATAATTCAGGAAGTTACAATCCGATATGCATGAATATTGAAAGGAACCAAGATCTTTGGGCTATAAACATGTATTTCAAGTTACATCAAAATCGGATCGAAATTGTGTCCACTCTCTAGAGGGTCCAAAACCTTGATATACATTATATTTACAATATTTGCGTACGAGGGGCAGCCATTTTGTCCGGCAGTTTTGGTCCGATTTGTACGAAATTCGGACTCAACCATCATAAGGGTTTGACAGGGATATATTCAAACGTTTTTTTAAAATCGGATAAAAATTGTGACATCTAGAGGGATCACATCCTAAAAACGCGACTTTTCGTACAATCAAGGGCCATAATTCAGGAAGTTAAGATCCAAAATGTGCGTATATCGAAAGGAACCAAGATCTTTGGGTTATAAATAGGTATTTCAAGTTTCATCAAAATCGGATCAAAACTGTGACCTCTATAGGGTCCACAACCATATTTTTACGTTATTTGAAACGAACGGCGGCCATATTGTCTGTCAATTTTGGGCCAATTTTCACGAAATTCGAACTCAGTCGTCCTTAGGGTGTAACGGTGACATAATAATACGTTTTTTTTAAATCGGATAAAAATTATGACCTTTAGGGTCCACACGCTAAAAACGCGATTTTTCGTACAATCAGGGACCATAATTCAGGAAGTTAAGGTCCGATATGCGCGAATATCGAAAGGAACCGAGAACTTTGGGTTATAAAATTAAATTTCAAGTTTCAACAAAATCGGATAAAAATTGTGACCTCTATAGGGTCCACAACCTTGATATACCATATGTTTACGCTATTTGAGAACGAACGGCGGCCATTTTGTCTGTACATTTTTGGGCCGATTTTCATGAAATTCGACCTCAGCTGTTTTCAGGGTGTAACCGTGATATAATAATACGTTTTTTTTAAATCGGATAAAAATTATGACCTCTATTGGTTCCACAAGCTAAAAATGTGATTTTTCGTACAATCAGGGACAATAATTCAGGAAGTTACGGTCCGATATGTGCGAATATCGAAATGAACCGAGATCTTTGGGTTATAAACTTACATATCAAGTTTCAACAAAATCGGATAAAAATTGTGACCTCTATAGGGTCCACAACCTTGATATACCACATTTTTACGCTATTTGTGATTTGGAATAACATATATAGACATTAAAACGTGCAATAAGATATAAATTTTACTATTTGACTGTTAATAAAACAAGCGGTTGCCATGCAAGATACGCCCACATTTTGCAAGAGATGGACAGAGAACAAGCTCAAAAAAAGAAGTGATTTTTTTGTACAATCAAGGGCCATAATTCAGGAAGTTACAATCCGATATGCATGAATATTGAAAGGAACCAAGATCTTTGGGCTATAAACATGTATTTCAAGTTACATCAAAATCGGATCGAAATTGTGTCCACTCTCTAGAGGGTCCAAAACCTTGATATACAATATATTTACAATATTTGCGTACGAGGGGCAGCCATTTTGTCTGTCAATTTTGGGCCGATTTTCACGAAATTCGAACTCAGTCGTCCTTAGGGTGTAACGGTGACATAATAATACGTTTTTTTTAAATGGGATAAAAATTATGACCTCTATAGGGTCCACAAGCTAAAAACGCGATTTTTCGTACAATCAGGGGCCATAATTCAGGAAGTTACGGTCCGATATGCGCGAATATCCAAAGGAACCGAGATCTTTGGGTTATAAACTTATATTTCAAGTTTCAACAAAATCGGATAAAAATTGTGACCTCTAGAGGGTCCACAACCTTGATATACCATATTTTTACGCTATTTGAGAACGAACGGCAGCCATTTTGTCTGTCAATTTTGGGCCGATTTTCACGAAATTCGAACCCAGTCGTCCTTAGGGTGTAACGGTGATATAATAATACGGTTTTTTAAATCGGATAAAAATTATGACCTCTATAGGGTCCACAGGCTAAAAACGCGATTTTTCGTACAATCAGGGGCCATAATTCAGGAAGTTACAGTCCGATATGCGCGAATATCGAAAGGAACCGAGAATTTTGGGTTATAAACTTACATTTCAAGTTTCAACAAAGTCGGATAAAAATTGTGACCTCTATAGGGTCCACAAGCTAAAAACGTGATTTTTCGTACAAACAGGGGCCATAATCCATGAAGTTTCGATCCGATACATGCCAATATCAAAAGCAGCCGAGATCTTTTGGGGATAAACCTATATTTCAAGTTTCGTAAAAATCGGACAAGAATTGTGACCTGTAGAGAGTCCACAAACAAATTGTGGACGGACGGACGGACGGACGTCCGGACGGGACGTCCGGACGGACAGGGGCGACGACAATATACGTCCACATGAAAATGTGGGCGTATAAAAAACAAACATTATGCATCCCTAATAAAACAAGTGAGTGTGACCAAACACACCACTAACAAGATTTTGTACAATAATATTATTATGTCCAAATATATAATAAACACTTTAAAAAAACCTTATTGCACACAGTAGCTATAGCACTAATCATATTGCAAAGAGTTTGATTTTCTATGACGTGATATGGGTGAAAAATTGAATTCGGAAAAAGCAAGTTGAAAGTTTGATATACCTATAAAGGTGACTAAATGTTCAACACTATATAAAAATCAGCAAATTTTGACTATAATATTGGTCAATTTTAGCTGGTATCAAAATTTGACAGTCTTCCTTAATTTTAAAAGGAAACTATAATGAAAGTTGTTTTGTTAACTTATGCGACCCCTTAAAGAGAAATGTTATCATATGTTCTAATATAGGAGACATAATTTTATCACATAAACTTTGGAGTTATATCACTGGGCTGGTGACCCTGATGGTTGGCCTCGGCCCAAGCAGTACATTCCAGCCAGAAATGAAATTAAATCTGCGCCAATCGGACTATTGTAGATTGGTAATTACGTCATGTAGTTTACAGTGACATTTCGGGGAGCTGTCTGATAGAAAATTTCTTCATGACATACTTCATCGCGTATGCCCGTCTTCATTAATCCGGGTAGTGTAGAAAAGCAAGACCCAAACTCAGTTTCATTTCACGTTAAACCCCTTTTCAATTGATTGTGTTGTACATCTGCATGTACAATCACGTTGTCAGATTGTCTCCCCAGCAAATAATACAAGAATGAAATATAAACTCTACAAATCCAAGAAAAATTTCAGAGAAAGCAAATAGAAGTCGAAACAGAAATAGAAAAAAAGGGGTAATAAAATGAGATTTAAAATCTGTTATTGAGCTAAAGCCTTCAGAAACTTAAACATTTACTTTTGTCTTTTTCTCTCGCGCAAAACTTTTATATTGTCGGTAGACTAATGTGGTTGTGGTGTAAGGCTGCATCATGTTGTTTAACAATCGAAGCCTTCACACTCCAAATATTCGCTTTAATATTTATCTTGGCCGGCCCCTTCTTTCCTTTCCACCTTTATTTAACACCAGTCCAACCCCATCTTACATGGAAATCTAATCTATCTAAATATCGTTTTTCTCTGATTGGTAATCTGAGATATCCTTTCCTTCTTTTCATGATGTTTTATTTGGAAATAGCCACGAATCAAAGAGATAAATTGCAT